ATCCCTGCTTTAGCCAGGTTACTGACTGCTGTCGACCGCATAGAGTGGTTTGTAATTTTTATTTATTTTATATTCAATCCTGCCTTCTCTGTTGCTTCTTTAGTCCATTTCGAAAGTTCGTTTTTCCCACTGGCGTGTTTTTATACCATCCACTTGATTGTTCTTTGTTCCGTGATGGGCTTACTGTTAAGAATAACCCATCAGTTGTTATTCCAGATAAACGTTTAGCGCTTAGAGTTTTAAAAGACGGACTGGACAAAGGTAGGATTCTTCGTGTTGGAGAGCAGCCATTTACTTGTCGGCCATTTTTTTCTCCACCCTGGGTCATTTTATTGAAAAGATGGTCATATTCTACTACTCCTAAAAAGTAGGATTTTGAGAATTAGTTATATTAAAAAATATGTAACTAGGCGATCTACCTGGATTAATTCCAGAATTATACACTTCCTCTTTAAAATAATGAATTCTCCAACAGACGGCTTCTGTACCTCTCCAGGCAAATTCTACTGAAGTGATATGGTAAAATTCCCGGCGGAGTATCTTATTTCCTTAGTAAAACTATTGCGTGATATTCTTCCAATTTCAATGAGGCAGAGCTCGATTTCCTTTTATTGGTTTTACATCTGCAAATTCCTTCGTTTCGCATTACGATTCCCTACTAGACTTAAAGATAGTATCTTTCAATAGATAAAACATTATTTTCCACTTTATAAAATGCATTTCTTCCATTTTTTTTCGCAACGCTGTTCCACATTGTGTTTACAACTAGTCCTTTGTAATTTTCACTGTTTTCTTTCTTCATATTCCACTTCCAATCTTTCAGGATTAGGTTTAGTTGCTCTAAAAAGCTCGTGTTCCTTTGCCTTGCAGAATTCCGTAAACTGTTTCCATATTGACATATGGGTTCTAACGGTATAATTGTACGGTAGGTACACTTGAAAACAAAATTACAAAATTTATTGACAATAAAATCAGAAAAATTGTTTAGCGTCGTTTTCTGGTGTCCTAGGAGACCATAATTACTTGTTATCAAATGCATTGTAATTTTTGGTGACAACAGCTGTCAATTTTCGCCGCGGATAAGCTCGAAAAAACTGCTGATAGGAGCTGTCATACAATTTTTCCATCATTTGTGATTCAAAATTGCGCGTTTGTGATTGGTAGAAATTAGGACGAGGAAAATAGTCAATATAATTTATTTTAACAGGTTGATCTGGATAGGTGGTTGAAAGACGCATATTTAAAGAAGACCTTCTACGACCAATAGGAGCCAAGATAATGTTTATTTAAATTCGTATCTCCTTTATAATCATTAAGGCTCCAAATTTTCACAGGTTTTAAGCAAAGATCTCAATTTTATGATCCAACTTATAATTTTACTATTAGTTCAAAGGTATTGAAGAAATATCTACCTAAAGTGAAGGTACAGGCGTAAGTATTTCCGGGTGAGGTGGTGGGGGAATCAGCTCTATCTCGATTTATTTTTTGAAATTGAGTCTTCAAATCGCAGCGCGCTGTAAAATTTTGCATGATCTTGGCTTCGAAGAAACGTAGAGGCTTCTTTTTTTAATTTGGGGTAACTCGTCGAAATAATGACATCTGATACATTTTGTCGGAAAAACGGAAAATCCCGACAAACTTAACACGTGGTGTTCTTCAAAATTAAATTGCTATGAAATTATAATAAACTAACAATAAATCATTTACTCTGTACTCTCACTCTAATAAAATAATTGATATAATACGATAAAATTGTTTAAACAATTCATAATTCAGTTAATTGGTATACTCTTGACAAAATACACTCCAATAAATTGTAAAAAATATTGATTCACATTTGTCTTTCATTTATATTTATGGTATTTGCATTCTTTGTGTTAGGGTAAACCATACAGTTATCGGACACTTAAGATTTATTTGTTTTCAATTCCTCATAAAATCATTATCTATTGTATATTTACAAAAACTCTTTCATTTTCTAAAACGGTTTTTGTTGCTTTATTAGAGAAGTGTGAATGATACGTGTTTGAGGAAAGTATGTTTTTGAAAAAAAAAATAAAAGACAAACAATACAAAAAAGTATAGTTATTGGACAGTTCTGATATTTATCGGACACACTACAGATAGTTATTGGACATCCAGAATGGAAACTACAGGTCAATATAGACTGGCTGATTTTTGCATCCTTTATTAATTTTCACAACCAAAATACATTTTACTTACAACTAGTAAAAGGATGAAGGTTGAAGTTCATGTCTTTTGTTTCGCGTATTCTTGGTACAACCGTCAAAGCTTGTCGACCTCTGAGTCGGATTGACCTGACTGGCTGCCGTCAGAATCGGAGATGCTGCTATCTGTATTGTCTTCTTTATAGCACATGTGACACAAAAAAATTTCGTCTGGATCTTCCTGATTAGTGATGAACTGCTTATGTGCTTTGGGTATGCAGCTTTGATGGAAAAAATTTTTGCATGTTTCACATTGCATGTCAATACTACCAATGTTGTTTTTGCAAATAAAGCATTTGTGTTCTTCACGCTTCCTTCTTATTTGCGATTTGGCTTTAGTATTTTTTTTAAATTTGCTTTTTCTTCACGTTTTCTTTTTCTCTCTTCTTTTTCCTTTTCTTCTCTTTCTTTTATCTGCTGCTTCTTCTCAAAGAATTCTTCACATTTTTTTGATGTAATGGCAAATGGAATTCTCTCGACATTTCTCTTGCCTTTCCTTCTTGGACTTTCTGGAATTGTGAAATATTGACCGAATAGCTCAGAATTTATGGGACGGACACTATTGCTCATTCGTGGCGTCATGGATGAAGCTGTAGCTGTGTCTAAATTTTGCAAAATCTCTGAGAGATCTTGGGGCATGCACTAGTACATCAACTGTGGCCTCATTCCTTCCTACTGGTGGTAGTTGGTGGTGTGTGTTTTTTTCTATAGTATCCTGATTAACAATTGGTAACCCTTCTTGCATGTCAGAGGATGATCCGTTTGCTTCTGAATGAGTCTCTGATATTAGGTCTGAATGTACCTTATTTTGATCACTTGTTCTGTGGAAATATTGCCAAAGTTTAAAAAGTGACATAAAATCATCATTACAGATTTCGGGAACCTGCTGACTCAATATTTCAAATTTGTTAATCCTTTCTTGGCCTACAATCTGAACAAATGTTTTGTAATCCATGGTCTAATTTTGCAATAGAGGAGCATCCTGAATTATTGTGTGGTTTGTGCTTTTAGCTCCTAGACATTTAGTGTAATCGATCACATTTGGGTTGAACGGAAATAGCCCACATGCTTTGAAACCATTAACCAGTGTTTCAGGTTTTATACTGGATTTAAAAGCTTTTTCTACGACAGGAGCAAAATTCACTTTATTTAGAAATTCAGATGGGTGCTCTTCTTTCCATTCTCTAACTGTCCGGCGCCAAGCTTGCTTAAGTGGTCGGAAAGCAGCAACATCGCATGGTTGTAAGATCCTGGTCGAATTTGGATATAAAGCGAATATTTCTATTTGTAACCTTTTACACAGGAGGCTTCAACTATAATTAAGATGGGACTTTTGACCATCCAAGAACAAGATCACTGGAAACTTAATATTATGTTTCACAAGATGAGGATGGAAGACGTTCACAATATATTCATAGAACGTTTCGCTGGTCATCCATCCTTACGGCTACGGCTACGGCCGATGCCCCACTCTGGGTTTGCTGATTTAGCAATCTTTTCAGGAAATCTCACGTAGGGGTAAATAATCATAGGTACACCAATTTCCTCATTAGCTGAAAAAGCAAAGATAACTGTTATATTTTCTTTTGCTGCACCTCTATCGATTGTGTAAACGTTTTTTGCACCACGTTTCGCAAATACTTTGCCAGTAGAAGGGCTAACTTCAAATCCTGTTTCATCCGCATTATATACTCGAGTAGGATCAGATATCACGTCTTCCAAGTCATTTCATTTTATGTAAGTTTCTAATTCAGAGAACCATAGTCTGATATCCTTTTCGGATACACGCGCACTAGCTGCGCTCACAGATTCGCTACTTCTTTCAACAATTTCCGGATGCCTTTTCAGAAAAGCCTAAAACATGAGCTTTATTAAAAAATAGCTATGAATTGCTTTATAGTCATACTTTAACCCATCCATCGCCAGGCCTATTGTTGTTGAAAAGATTTTTCCGCGGATGATCATTTAAAAAATTTTGAACACTGGACTTGAGGTCGTTCGCCTTCTTTGGAAATCTTTTTCGTGCTGTTTCTAGGATCCAGCTAGAAATCTATGGGCAAATGTTATAATAAACAATAAGTAGTTATATTATTAATCCATTTACTTCACCAATATCATCTCTTCCTCTTCGTTGAGAACAGGTGAGGGACCACAAGTATTTTTGTGATCAGGATGCTTAATTTTAAATTCTATAGTCGATTTCGGAACTCCATATTTCAATTCTGCAGATCTATATGATTCAACTTTGTTGATGACGTCTTGCACTGCCCTATCTATGTTGCTTTTATCATAGTATTTGACCTTAGGCATCGTTAGTCACTAAAAATAAACATATTATACAGTTACTGGACACTCTATCTCTAATTATTGGACATCCGTCCAATAACTGTTCACAGTGCTCTGAAATATCTGTAAAAAGTATAGCGAAGAAACCTAAACGTTTTTAGTTGATTGGCATAGATTTTACACAAAATGGTTCATATACAGTTATTGGATACCTGTCCAATATTAGAAATTTCCGCATTTCTCAGTTTAATTATTGGACATATAAACTTTTAGGTTATAATAATAGGATGTGTGAGTACTCACAATAGTGCGTCTATATATGTATAAACTTAGTCATATGACATGACAAGTATCACGGTCAAACTAAAAATAAACTAACAGTATTTAAAAACATTACTCTCTATCCTAAACAAAAACTTAACGAATACGTACCTGCACTCACGTGCATCACTTGCTACTTATACAAAACTATTCAGCAAAGCAAAGATGTCGCTGACTTAGTTTTGAGACCTTGTAAGTGAACTGATATAGCCATCTATCGGTTGATAGACGAAGTACTAAGATTCTGAACCTTATTTTCAGGGATCGTAAGTGAACTGTCCCATAACTGTGTCGTGTCCAATAACTATAGGGTTTACCCTATAATAATATTATATAATGTATTTCTTTATAATAATATTTTATTATTTAACTAATCTTGATCCTTTGTTCAAAATCTTTTATTTGGACGCTCTACTTCTTCTTCAACTTTTGTACAACTCATTTTCCAAATAAGTCATCGATTTTCTCAGTATGCTCTTCATCATCGTCAATCACCATCATTACAATTTATGCACAAAGGTGTGCAATTTAACCTATGTTTTTTGCAACTACACCCAGTAGCACATTTGTAGAATATTTGTTTGATAGTCTCATCTGGTATTAAACTGTCCATAGAATGGATCGGTTCGAAACCTTTGTCACTTCGCCTCCAACCGTACTTGGTTGCATCTAATTTATTGCCTAACCATGTTAAATAACGGCGTTTAATGTTTACAACCATAAAAAAGGCTATTTGTTACATATTTTTTATGAAATAAATAAATAATTGTTTGCATAAATTCTTGAAGTTGGAACCTTCAAGAATCCATTTTACTCTTGTAAAATGTTCTAGGATCATATCTTGGGCGAGAACAGTTGTTCAAATAATTCATCTATTCGATAAGCAATTAGCTTTTTACATAAACATTTAAACTAATCCGGCTGAAATTCAGCATACTTACTAGCACCAATGACGCCCTCTTTTTCACAAATTTTTAGCCATTTACAACTATTATTGCAATAGTTATAAACATTTGTTCAATATTGCTAAAATGCCCCGTACTTAGCTTAATTGTTTATCGATTTTAATTCTTGAAAAACAAAATTAAAGGTATTTAATGCTCTAAAATCTCCAGTTTACCGATTATTTATAAAATTTAATTTTAATACTTTAAATGCAAAGTACTGAATTTTGGGCTTTTCCCACTATTTATAAAAAACAACGCATATCTGGCTGTATCTTTTTATCAATTTGTCATTAGAAACACACCCTTTTCTATTTAAGACTTGCAGACATCAGCTAAACTCTTTTCACCTTTTTTAACTAGACTGGACTAATGCTGTATAACCGCTTGGCCAGCCACGGTGCAAATGCAGTCAATGGCCAGTGCCATAAAAGGCAGGCAACCCCTTCGGCGAATGTCACACGATGAGTATTTACTATATTCCGTCAGTACTTATCATGGATCTGATATTTATTGACCAGGTAAGTCGTTGCCACGTATAGTCTGGACGTCAGTAATTATTGATAATTGAAACGTGCGGATTCATCAGCAAATACCGATGACATAACTTGTCTATTATGTGGTTTAATTCCACACAACACGGGCTCGGTGGTGATTTCCTGTAATGATTCTCAAAGCTTTTGAAAACGCAAGAAACTGGAAAAAAATGTAATTTATAACTTTAAAGGACAACAAAACACAAATAACCCGTCATGTACAGCTAATAAATATATTTCTTAGGCAATACGAGCCATAACACAGAATAGTTCGGACATTACCTAATTTTATTTTAAAGTTTGTTTATCTTTTAGGGTTACAAAATATTTTTGGAGACCATACTAACAAAATTATTATCAAGTAATATAATATTAAACTATAAAGGTAAACTGATATTGATAACAACGCAACATTTGGCTGACGCATAAATGTTCCGACGAACCATTTCAATAGCTCGTTACTTCTATCTTTGCCTTAATAACTGTGGCTTGCATAAGGTTTCCGGCAATCTTCCGCCTTGAAAGAATCCCATATAGTTTGTAAATATACCCGTAAATCAGAAATGTTTCCTTGTGGCTCATTTCTTAACTTCAGCTTCATTTTGTGGCATACAGTTTCGATAACATTCAAGTCAGGACTACCCGAAGGCCATTCAAGGATGAAAATATTATTATCCTGTAACCATTTTTTCGTTTTTGTTTTGTTGAAAAATAAAGTTTCTATCAGGTGATAAAATTGGTATTGACACTAGCAAATTGGTTAAAGGATATTTTGTTATTTAGCTGCGTTTACAGTACCGTCTATAAAGTGAAGTTTTCCAACGCCAAAAACTGATATGCCCCATACTATTGAACCTCATGGATACCTTACTTTTCTCATTAGGCAGTCTTTTTGAAACGCTTCATTATTGTTTCCTATAACCCAGGATCGTTGGTCATCCGCACAAATATCAAATTTCTATTTATCGCTAAAAATGATCTTTTTCCAGTCTTCTTAGTCCACATTGCTCGTTCCTTAGTCCACATTAATCGCCGTTTCTTTTATCTTTCCGTAAGCAACAACTTTTCTTTTGCCTAAAGCAAAGATTTTACTCAATAAATATGCCATATGCCCCTACATACCTTATAAAAATGTAAACCAGACTTGAATCCACCGACGGAACGTTTCTCGTGAAGCATTTCCTGCTGTTTCTTCATTCCATCTTGCTGTTATGTCCCTTACCGTACCTCGACCACCTTTACAAATACGAACAAGAGATCTTCGCACTGTTGGACTGATCTTACGAGGCATATCAACACCGTGTCCTGACACTTGAGTTGAACCCGTGTCTCCATACTTTTTTACAATATCTGCCACCGTAGACTTTGCGACATTCATTTGTTTAGCAACATCCCGAAAACTATTTCCTTGATGAAATAATTTTATGCTTAAAACTCTGATGCACCGTATGTTGCTTTACCACGCGACATTCTAAAGCAAATTAATTCAAATAACTACTTCTTAAATCAAAACGTCAAATTGTTATGTTTGTTTTTGTTTCCATGGCCTGCCACGAGTCTCATTTTTTTTAATATCGTGACCGAACATTTACGTATCAGCAAAATGGTGACGCTCACAGCGCTCATAGCGAGCATGAGCGGAATGAACTATTTGCACACTAGGACCTATCTAGTCAGCAGGTTACGTTTTGTTTGACACGACATAGGTTTTTTTAGAGAATAACCCTGCGAACCAAATTAAATACCGATCGTGTGACATTCGCTTCCAGACTTTCCTTCCGAAATATTTCACCGTCACTTCTGACAAGTCAACAATCCTCATGCAATTCACATGGAAATATTGCCGTTAGTGCCTCTCGTGCCAGAACAAGCAGTGCTCGTGTATGAGCTACAAATATAAACTACATTTGCGTACAATATTCAATTAGTGAACCACCTCTCAAGCCATAACTTTATAATGAAGAATTAACTAAAATAAAGTAAAGGAAAAGCTGACATGCAATCGGATCCCCATCCCGACTCACCAGACAAGAGACGCTACCAAAACCTGTGGTGTGTTTTTAAGCGGTGCTAGGATAGGTTCTGCGAGAAGTCCATTGGCTACCATACCGCCGGCGAATACTATCAACATATATGATAACCAGCATGCTAACGGATGTTTTCTTGAAAACGCCTGAGCTCCTACAAACAAAAAATATGATTTATATCTTTAAAGCAAGTTCTGTTGGCCATCAAAACTAAGCATTATATTCGTGCCATATATACCGTCGAAAAATTCTGTAGTTTTAACAAGCTTAGATAAGAGATCATAATTTTTGTAGCATATATGGTATATAATTTCCTAAACAATTTAACATTTTCATATATCTATCGGGATCTAAACATGATTCGTTAACCAATATGTTGCCTTGTATAAATGGTAATGTTACTCGATTGTAATGAAATAGCATTTAGGCCAGCACTATACTTCATCACGGCTACAAGCGCATTGGAGCAGATGAAGATAAGATACTGATACATAAATTGGATACTATCAGCATACCAGACAAGGTCCGTAAATACATCATATCTGTCAAATCGCAGACTAATGACAAGATTTAAATACTCCAAACTCCTGTTATCGACACTTCCGCCTATGGTGAAGTAATAAAAGTAAAAATGTAACTTTATTTGAATGCTTCAAAGTTTATTTGTATTATGTCAAGCGGCTAGGAACATGGTGGGCAGGGATTCTCTACCGTGCCTGAACACTGAAAATATGGTATACCTAGTCCGCGTCTATGTATTATTGGTATTTCCAACACCTTGAATTATTCGTGTATTTTTCGATCTGTAACATCAGACAGTGACATAGATCTCACTCGTATTACCGGCCTACGTGAGTTATGATTTCGTGCGCTTTCTGCCAAAAATTACTATGAAAAAATTAAATTGGCGTTTTCGGAGTGAAAGATTAGTCTCAGTCGCTTAAAAATCAATTACTTCCATGAACGTGAACCAACGCGACGTGTAAAACGTGTAGTGACAGGCTTGGGCGGAACAATTTCCAACAGAACGTGCGGCTGAAGATATTTAAAAATGTTTTGCGAGGTGTGCGGAGAGTCATCTTATACGAATGATAAGAAAGAAAATATAAATGAGATTCTCCGTCATAGCGTCTGGTGGAACCACGAACTGTGATTTTCCTTCGCTTGTCCTTGATATAATTATTACCATGTAGTTTCCGAATAAACCTACTCATCAGCACGAACTATTTACGTTTGAAAACATCTAAACTCTGGGCGCTGAAGAAAGACATTAAACGTAAACAGTGATCAGCACGTGAACAGATCCCTCGAAAGCATCCACGGATATACTCCAGTCACTTTAGGTCTAAACATCCTCGGCAGTGTATTTCTAGTGAATCCACAGACCCTTTTTCGTGTCATCTTGAGACTAGGAAAAGGATGACTGTTAAAATAAGTTACCTTGATCTTTCATGAGCTCCCAGTACAAAACATCATCGATATATTTTTGATGTAGGAACAACAAATTGGTTTAGAAAACTTCCACTTTGAACCTAAATTGACTGGAGTAACATCGATCTACAGACAAATTCAAGGTCACTAGCAGTCGTCGGCGCTCTACGAATCTGCACAGGTTTGGACTTGTAAACGTGATTGTAGATGACACGACAGGCATCTAACAGTTAATTCACGCACAGGATTGCATTGCATACGCATTACGCATTCAGTAGCGTATACTCGTTTTTCGTGAGTGGAACGTTTTGTTTATATATTGCCTAAGATACGATGTCTGACACAGAAACAGCCGACGAAGTGGTTGACATCAGCGCAACCCCACCCAAGAAAAGGGCTAAGAAGCTACATTTAAGTGCAAATGAAAAACAAATAATATTAAATATATACAAAAACCAAATTCAAGAAAAACCCGATTTGGTCGTGGACGAAGTTATATGTAAGGTAGCACATATTTTTGGAGTATGTCGGTCCAGTGTTTATAGGATCATTAAGGAATATAGGAGCACTCACTCACTTTCTGAGCCAAAACCGTATCCTGCAAGAAAAAGGATAACGGACGGAGTAGATGACTTTGACAGAACTGTCATCAGCAGGAAAGTGCATAATTTTTTCTTCCGAAATGAGATACCTACAGTAGATAAGATATTAAGATGAGTTAATGCTGATGAGGATCTTCCATCATTTAAAAGAACCACATTCCGAAAACTTTTGAAGTTTCGCGATGAAAAAAGAAAAATTTACTATTTGGACGAAACGTGGGTGAATGCTGGACATACTCAAGCGAAAGTTTGGGTTGACAAATCAGTAACATCATCAAGGCAGGCTTTTCTAGACGGTCTTTCGGCTGGATTGAAAAATCCTGCAGGTAAGCTCCTTCATCTATCCGGCAATTTAATTTTGATAAATTCGGGCAAATAATATGCTGTGATAGCAGATAATGTGTGATATTCTCCAAAAATGGTGCATTCGCAGTATAGTCATTAGGAAAAAAACTTCGACCCTCTTTTAAGCGTTATTTTGAAATTTTTGGGTGCAGTCAATTTGCTTTGAATGGGTTTTGAGAAGTTGCAAACTTCAATTTTCTACGTTTTTCAGTTTTTGATCAGCATTCCGTGACTCTTAAATTCAGCTAAATGAACTCAATTGCCTCATTCCTTCAAATTTAATCAATCCATAGTGTAAGGAATAATTTATTTCCAGGAAAAGGCAAACGGCTGATCATTTGTCACGTAGGTAGTGAAGACGGCTTTGTTCCCGAAGCACTGTGGGCCTTTGAATCAAAAAAGACAGGGGACTATCATGAGGAGATGGACGGCAATTCCTTTGAAAATTGGTTCTCCAAAATGTTACTAAAGCTGGAGAATAACGCTGTTATTGTACTGGATAATGCCCCGTACCATTCTAGTAAAATAGAAAAAATTCCCATAATGGCAACTAAAAAAGCAAACATACAACAATGGCTGGCCTCAAAACATATCGACTTTGATGAAACAATGGTCAAGGGTGAATTGATAAGTATAGTCAATAGACATAAATACAAATACGATTTTAAAATGATCGACGAAATGGCCAAAAAACAAAATAAAACTGTCTTGAGACTGCCACCCTACCATTGTGAGCTGAACCCTATTGAGCTGATTTGGGCCAACATAAAGCAATACGTGGCGTCGAATAATAATACTTAAAAATTTTCTGATGTTAAAAATCTCTTTCACATCGCAGTCAATAGAGTTACGGCAGAGGAATGGAAAAACTGTATCCGCCACGTCCGGGAGAAGGTTGAGGTCAAAATGTGGGATTTGGACAATGTCATCGATACCCAAATTGAACCTCTAATAATTCATTTAAACGATTCAGAAGATTCAAGTTCCTCTTCTGAATGAGTGCGCGCAGCTTACTTACTAATAACTAAAAAGTGTAGTTAACTCATTTGTGAATCTCTAACTGAAATTTACTGTAAAAGATAATAATTATCTTGTATGAAATTTTTGATGACTACCCATAATATCTTGATGCGGTCCTGTAATGTCTCCTGCGCCTAAACACTCACTCACGAGCAATATGCGTGTATTTGTTTGGGTTTAGTTTCTTTCTTTAGCGCCTAGAGTATAGTGTTCCCTCCCCCCTCCAGCGGCCGGACCTGTACCATTACATGCCCAGTCATTCCGTTTTCGTGCTCGTCGGCGACAACAGATAAAGTGATAACAGTTCGAATAGTGAGTGTTGTACGGAAGGTTTCCATAACAATGCCTAAACGACGTTTGTCTAGCCAAGACAAATATGGTGAGATTAAAAAATTAAAGAAGCAATTTCGTCAAATGCAGGAGCATCTAAATAAACTTTGTGAGTCCAGCGAATCTAGTGATTCATCATCTGCAAAATATGCAAGTACATCAGGTAAGTCATAGTATTGTTGACTTAAATTTACACTTGTGCACATTAAGAGGTTATAATGGGAATATCGTGCGATACTTCCTAAAATACATGAAATCGTGCGATTTTCATGTCACTGCTAGAAAATAAAATCGAGCGATTTTTACCTAAATATATAAAACAATATATTCTCGAATATTTTTAGGGTAACGAGCGTTACTCCCGAAAATTAAAATCGAATGATTTAAATATATATATATATATATACGTATATATATATATAGTTACCAGAATAGAATCATGCGATTCTATTTGATTAAATCAACCGGCACTTAGAGAATATAATATTGTTTTAGAATTGTCAGAGGATGAAGCTCAAAATTTAAAAACTAGAAAGTCAGATGTCCAGACAGTCCATGAAATAGAGCAATCGGAGCAGAGTTTTTATGCTCTAGGATCGAGACCGGACTCGCAGGATAATGTAGGAAAAGAATTGCATGAGGAAATAGTCGTTCGTTGGGACAGCCTTTTAAAAAAAGGTTTATCTAAGGACCAACGAGAAGAGTTGATGACAAAGTTTAAATACCTTCAAATTGTAAGGCTTTGCAATCTCCTCAAATTAATAATGAAGTCCAGCCATACCTATTAAAATCTGTTCTTGAACACGATCGTCTTATGAGAGCCTTACAACAGCAGTTGGCTCACGGTCTGTCAGCAGCAGGGGCTGTTATTGAGACTATGATGCCTTACAAAGAACAAGCTGATACCATGAAATCATTGGCAGAGGCCTGCCAGTTATTTACTAACGTTCACCATGGGCTTTCAGTTCAACATAGATTTAAAATTATACCACATTTAAATTCTGAATACAAAATTCGCTGAAACAATGAAGAACGAACAGGCAATAAACAAGGCCAGTACTGATTTTAAGAAGAAAACTTGGCACGCCAATTTTATAGGACCTCCAGGATCTGGGACACCAAATAGCTATCATTTAAACTACCGGCGTGCGCTACCAAAAGGAAGAATGAAAGAGAAGAGGAGGGGAGAAGAGAGGAGACGATTGGAGCAACAGAGGAAGTTCAGAAGAGACCCCAAGAAGTACTATCACCAGAAATAACTGCTAGAACAAACGTGAGTAATCACGCTGGTAGACTTTCACTTTTTCTACAGGGCTGGAAAAATATCACAAGAGACCGAGTGGTCTTGGATTGGATTACGGGAGTTAAAATACCCTTTCTTAAAAGGCCTGTGCAGTTTTTTGAGCCCTCTGCAGAAATCCCAATTG